CGTGAGTAAAGTTATGGAACGCTTGGTTTGCCAAAAAATTACCTGTTTCTTGATGGAAAGAAATTTGCTACATAAATAATCAGCATGGTTTTCTGAGGCGTAGGTCTACATTGTCGGCCTTACTGTCCACAGTACCTCTGTGGCATAGAGAGATTGACAAAGGGCATTTCGTTTCAGTCTGCTATATAGACTATGCCAAGGCTTTTGACTCCATCTCAATACCACTGCTTCTTAGGAAATTAGAGGTTTACGGCATCAGGGGCCGACTGCACCAGTTCTTGCGTTCTTTTCTCAGTGACAGGACCCAAGTAGTGCTCGTCAACGACTCCCATTCTTATTCCTACCCTACACCTAGTGGCGTACCTCAACGTGTATTGGGCCGCTAATGTTCCTAATATATGTGAATGACTTGGTTGACTCTATTCCAGCTGGCGCCTACTGCAGTCTTTATGCTGATGATTCAAAAATCTTCACCATAAACGACTGTAACAAGCTTCAGAGCGCTATAGACTGTGTCGAGGCTTGGTCTAGAAAGTGGAATTTGAACATCTCTCTGCAAAAAACAGCTGTTATGGGGCTCGGTAAAAATCATCCTAGATTCACGTTCTCGATGTGTGGCGTCGAGCTCTCCCGAATAAGTAGAGTTCGGGATCTTGGTGTTGTCTACACCGATAAGCTTGAGTTTGATGAGTTTATACGTGAAACAGTTTCTAATGCAAGCTCTAGGGCTAATTTCATTTTGAGAGCTTTCAAAATGCGCGAACCTAGACTGCTATTTTTTTATTCAATCTCTACGTTCGCCCGATCCTTGAATATTGCTCACCAATCTGGTCGCCGTTCAAAAGATCGTTAATCGAAGAAATTGAAAAAGTTCAAAGAAGTTTCACTTATCGCTGTTTTATGCGCAAAGGTTTGTCAACATTATCCTATGATGAGCGCCTTAGCATGCTTCATGAAGAGTCTCTCGAATTTCGACGAAAGTTAATTGATTTCGGATTGATGTATAAACTTGCGATGGATAAATTGAATTTGAAATTGACTGACATTTTTGAAATGTCGCCTTCTATAGGGGTATCAAGAGGCCACCCCTATCGTTTACGACCCGACAAGCCCAACACACACGCGTACGGAGAAGCGTTCACTGTCAGAGTGGTTTCACTTGGAACAAACTTGATTCAGATTTTTTCAGATGGAAACATACTAGGACGTTTCAGGATCACTTATGTAGGTATCTCAAGTGCCGGTGGCTGCTCCAGAGACGAGTTTTGGAAATGTATCGCGTGACGGCAGGTGCGCCTACCCCGCCGCCACATGACTTTGCTGGAATGGGTGCGTGCCAGCCGCCTCCATAGCGCAGAGCGAAGTGCCGCCGC